CCCAAAACCCCAAAACCCCAAAACCCCAAAACCCCAAAACCCCAATAATTTAAACTCGTATTGAAATTTTGTAAGTATAATTAAGTGAAGCATCTTGAGATTCAAAGCAAAGAGTTTAATCCACATGTAAATTGTTGTTTCCTTCATTAGCAGCTTTATTATTTTTGAGTACCCAAGATCCTAAATAGTTTGCAAGAGCGAAAATGAAACAAAGAGATCCGGCAACCAAGGATCAGATTGCTAGTAAATAGTTTTTCCCACCAAATGCATTTGTGGTTGAGAGAATAAATGTCTTTTTGCCGTCAAAAGAGGATACATCATAGTTATTATTCACTGTTAATGCGATAGAACCTTTTGGGATATCTGTCCTGATTCTTCCCCATAGTTTCCTAAAGTTTGGCATTCCAGCTGTTCTCATCCAGACGATAAAATGCTCATCAATAGAGCTGACCCATTGAATATTTGATGCATTGGCAGGTTGCCCAAATGTATCATCAACATCTGAGTCCCAAGCAATATTTGTTTCATCAATGCTATAGTCAGAAATTGAGTATGTATCTGTAAAGAGTGTTTTAGCAATTAGTCCACATGGGTTTGCTGGAGCATCAGGATCTAGTGGTGTCCCTCCATAACTTGTACTACGTCCTAAATCTTTATTTGTGATTATTGGATCACAAGACCCCAAAGATCCGACACCCTTATTCTGGCCTTTAAGTTGGCTATAGTTAATACTTTTTAAATATCTCCTGTGATTTTGAAAGAAATTATCAATCTTATAGTACACCATGATTGGCTGCTCCATATCCTCTGGAATATTGAGAGTATGTGTACATGAAGAGCCAACAGCTCAATTATTATCATATCTGTATTCTACTTCTACAATATCCTTTGTGAACTCTATTAGCACTATTCCAAATGTGAGAAAGATCACTCCAAAGACAAGGAAGGTGATCATAGAAGAGACTATGGTCGGTACTGGCCTCCAAGCAGGTAGAGTTTGCTGCTTGAATCGATTTCCCTCTAACCTCTTCTTTTTCTCTTTTGCTTTAAGCAATTCATCATTTTCCATCTATTGGCCTACTTGTGAGATGAGTTAGAGAGTAGATTAGTTTTATTATGTAAAGGAATGGGTAAGTAATACTTGTTAAGAGGTTTAAACACTGGACTACTCACCTTGTTTTACCTTTATAAATTCTATAAAGCAATGCTAAAAAGGGGTTTTGGGGTTTTGGGGTTTTGGGGTTTTGGGG